ATCCACGAGGACTTCTCACATTGTTTTGCCATCATGCAAACCTGCAGCCATGTGCTGTGCCAGGGTCGTGTCTGGAATGTGGATATTCTGTGTATGGCTTGTGCTGCCTCGTGGGGCATTGCAGCGTCTCTCTTGACCCAGAAAAGAAGGAATTTTAATCCATACAGTGCTTTCAGCTCATGAGTAGTGCAGTATGTTCGTCCAGGGATCCACCTGATATGCTGCTGGGTGGGAGATGTTCATGGGTTCATATTATGGGGTGTCTCACTGAGATCTGTGAGAGATGGGCCAGCAGTCACGAGGCCACAGTGGGACAGCAGCTGCTAACAAGAGTATGGGTTTTTCTTTTTGATCACTATGAAGGAGTTGGCTGTGTGTTTTCAGGAGTCCCACAGTGTGTTATCTTTTCCACTTGGACAATATTGGTAGTAGGAGATTTTTTAATTCCTATGTATTTTAAAGTATAGGAATTTTAAAATATGTATTTATTATATATATTTAATTCCTCTCTATTTTTAATTCCTTAAATCAAAATATTCTTGAGTTCCTTTTGGCAGAGAAGAATGGGACAAGGGGGAGTATGTCATGATGACTTGTGGAGGGACAAACTGGCATATCCTTCACAATGTGACCTGACTGAACAGATTTTCTGCTTTCTGGAAAATTTTACAAGGCATAAATAAAAATCTGGAAAAACACTGATGAAATCAAACCCAGAAGTGATTTAAAATGAGGCTGCCAACTTTCTGTCTCACACAGGGCACTGCAGGTTTATCGTGAAGGCAGAGCAGGGCCAACATGTGCACCCCAGGACTACACCAAGACAAATCTCAGTATAAATGGGGAGCCACAACATACAGCAGCCCATCTCTTAGAAGCAAATTTGTGGCTTCTACCCCAAAGAGTTACCCCAGTCATGCTTGAAACATTAGGAGAGTGTTCTGGTGTCCCACCCTGCAGTACTGAAACTGCTTTGCCTGCCCTTGGCACAACCATCTGTACAGCTGTGGATGCAGCTGTGTTGGGTGTTTTGAAAAAGCACAGGAGGAATATCTGTTCATGGCACTCCAGCTGTGATATCAACCTGACAATATTGCCTCTGGGCAGTGACAAGACTTGAATTGCTCTGCAGACCAGTGTCTTTGCTGGCAGAACAGGCATGAGCTGTGTCCATATGATCTGCCAGCTGATGGCTTCTCATGTGTGGGATGGAAGTGGAATACACATTCCCAGGAACAGGGGTGGTTGGTGGGCAGGGATGCAGCTTGGTAGGCCTTGAAGATAAAAACCCAGGGTAATGGAAGCTGCCACTAAAGGATGCTCTGTGCATGAAGTCATCTGGATTTGCTATGCCCACGCTCCAAAGAGAGGGCGGCTGGAGAAAGATTGTGCTGTACTTCGGGCATTTGCTGGTGAACTGGGGCATCTACTTCTGATTTGGGTTGCCCTCATTCCTGGGCAAAAAGGTGTCAAGCAGTGTAGGGGACAAGAAGAGAGTGTGGGGAGCTTGTTTCAGCTGTGCGAATACTGGCCCCATGTAATCAGCTGCATTAGAACTAATCCAAGTGTATTTTTCATTGCTTGTCCGTTGGCACTATTGACTGCTAAATGTGCTGGAGTCTAGTTGAGCCCATGAGCCTCTTCTAATCAATGGGCAGCTCTCCTCCATGTCACATGCCAGTTTTCAAAGAAACATCACTGAGCATCATCGTAGGTGTCACCTTCATTCCCTTGTCCCTGGGATCTTCTGAACAGGAGCATGGCAATTACTGGATGTCGTTTAATTTGCTTGCTTTGGCTTTTATTTCATTTGAGCTGCGAAGCAGAGGATTCTTACATAGCAAGGTTAGACAATTCTGCTGACTCCAAGCTTGCTTGAATTTGTATAACATGTCCTGATGCTGTAAACAGGAGTGGTTCTGTCTCTCAGTGCAAACTCTTTGTCAGCTGTGCAAGACTGTTGTGATAAGGCACGAAATGATGACACAGACACTGCTGCTCTCGAGGAGAACAAAAAAGAAGAACCTTTATTTTCTGACTCCAACATTTATAGTTTTCCAAAGGTGACAGTGGATTGGAGGGTGACAGTGCCACCTCTCAAATGCCACTGGACAGACCAAGGGTCTATCAATTCTCTCCACCTCCATGAAAGAATGCAAAACATAAGTTATTTACAGAACTGTGTGTGAGAAAGTTTGTTGAAAGAATGTAAACATCAGAAGGTTTAACAAAGTCTTACAAAATCAAAGCAACACAAGACTGAGATTTGTTTGGTATTAACTCAGTTACGGGTATGATAGGATGTCACATGCTGCTGAGGGGGTGGCAGGTTCCTTCCATGCCACTGTTCTGCAGCAGTTTGGGGTGTGACAAACCAGGTGTGTGAACAAAAGGATTGTTCACCCTCCCAAAGAAGCCAAAACTGAGGATGTCCAAGCAGGTGTTTCCCTTGGGTCCCCAGTTGCACACTCCAGTCTGCACCTCTGTTTAACATGCTGGCTGCGGGTTTGCTGTTCTTGTTTTTTCTCGTCTTTTTGGTGTGTATTTTCAGGAGTGCATTCAGGCAAGGCACTGAAGTACCAAATCTGAGGAACCAGGGCAAGCAGGAGGGTGCCTGCTGTGCAAATATTTTGGGCAGTGATGGGGCATCAGACAGAAATTTCAACAGAGACAGAAGAAGTGAAAGAGGGCAGAGGAGATTCAGGCTCTTCCTTTCACAGTCCTGCACTTGGTTAACATGAAAGTCTCCATCTCCTAGGGATTATTAGTTTTGTTACACTGTCCTGTGATACTTCATCCCTCTTGGGTTCAAGGCAATGATAGTTCTCTAGGAGTGTAACATAAAATCCTGAGATGTTCATGGAGACGTGCTAATTTAAAAGAGACAGCAGACTCACTCAGAGGCTGTGGCTGTCCCAGAGCACCACAGTTACTATAGCTGAGCTTTCAAAGCAGCTCTTCAACAGTCAAGCTGCTGGCAGATGACACTTTCCTCCTTCCCAGGCTAAACTCTGCTGGAGAACTGGTGGTGGTGTTCAGTGTCATGTTCCTTTCCCTTCAGTGTATTCTGCTCTTGCCATAAAGCATTTTATTCAGGCTGAGTGTGGTCACTCACTCTTAATAAATCCTGAATCATAGGGTGGTGTGGGTTGGAAGGGATCTTAAACATCATCTCATTCCAACCCCCTTGCCATGGCAGGGACACCTCCCACTGGACCAGAGCTTCATCCAACCTGGCCTTAAACACTGCCAGGGATGGGTTATCCAGAGTTCCTCTGAGCAATCTGTTCCAATGCCTTGCCATCCTCACAGTAAAGAGTTTCTTCCTAATACCAAGTCTAAACCTGCCCTCTGTCCATCTGAAGCCATTGCCCCATGTCCTGTCAGTCCATACACTTGTAAACAGTCCCTGTTGAAGGAGAGAAACGTTGGGAAATAAAAAGGTGGGGCCTTTGCTCACAGTAGGTTACTTGCATGATGGATGGGCTTGAGCTGGTGAAAACTGGGGGCTGCTGGTGTAAGCTAATACCTCCTCCAACTCCCTGGCTTTTCTGCAGCTGACTAAAACATGCATTGTGCTCAGAACTGATATTGCAGGCACGTTTTCCTGGGGCTGGGCACCTGGCACCACAGAAACTGGAGCCAGTGGTGCTTCACCCCCCTCATCTGAGGCTGGTACTGTGCTGCATCTGCACTAGGCAGCCTCCCACGATGGTTCTGCGGGCTCAGACACTGCTCTGGCAGAGCTCATGGGGAGGGATCACTTGCCTGCCCCTGCCAGACGATGGGTTTTGCCAGGCCTAATGACTTAGAGATAACAGTCCTTGTGGTGGGGGCACACAGGGCAGCGCCCCCAAATCCCCTCCCCACTTCTGGTCTGAGAACCCTGGCGGGCAGGATGGGGGCTTTGGCTCAGTCTGTGGTTTTCCACATCCTTTGGAATGGAAATCTTTCAATGGCAGACAAGAAGAATACTTCCAGGTTGGTGCAGGTACAGCAGAGAGCGCAGGTGTTGAGTACAGAACTAGAAATGAGGTGACGCAAGGGAAGGGGGCAGGGAGAGCTCCGGTTCCATCTTCTCCTGTCCGTGGGGCTCTGGGCATGGGGCAGGAATGCAGCTGAACTCCGTGGGGCTGAGCCCTCTCACCCACTGTCTCCAGCAACTACTTCAATCTAGCCCCAGCCTTTGATCCTAAACCAGCACCTCCCCTACATTCCCTTTCTCCCCTCTGCCTAAACTGTGTTTTAACACTTGCATTCATATGTAAAGGTAGGAAATAGGGCCCTTCCCACTCCCTGGGCTTTCTTGGCTCTTGGGCTTGGATCCTATTCTTTTCACTAATGCTTCCCCACCAACTCGAATTCCCTCCTGCTGGTTCCAGAAATTATATAAAGTTGAAGTAATTTGATTTGTGGAACACCTAACAAGTTTCCAGGTAAATTGTGGGTACTTCAATGGAAAATCTCCCTCTAAATCATAAAAAGTATAAACTATACAACAGTGCTGGCAATTTTGCTGTCTTGGGTATGCTCCCTGCTTATCCCATGTCATAAAAATCCAGCTTGGGTGTTTTGGGTGCTGTCTCCAAACCACATTTTCCCTTCCTGTTCTCACCATCCCTCCCCACTTTTTGGCACATTGTGTGAAGGGGTTTTGGTGCCACAACAGGCAGCCAAATGTTAACAAGCCCCTGGCTCTGGCTTTCAGCTGTCCTGCCAGCCGTGGTTAACCGAGCGTTGTTCAGGTCAAAGCCATTGTGCATCTGGTCTGTGCACACCTTTTGAAACGTGAATACATTTTTTCAGCTACTGACTGAAGGATGCCAAGTATTGGCCTTTTATACGCCAGAGTTTGTAAAAGAGAGAAAGCCAAGATACCTGGAGCTTGCTAGTTTCCAGGAGGGAGATTAATCCAGCATAATTTCTACTATTAGGAGAAAATTACTCTCTTGTTATTTTTGAAGTACATAATGGTAATAGTTTTCCATTTACCCTCCTAGGTAGCCCAAGGCTTCCTGATGCTGCTGAACCATCAGGGTTTTTTCCAAAGAAAAGAAGGACAAAGGATGATAGCTGTCCCAGGGATTGACACATTGCCCTGGCTGGTGGGGCAGGTACCCAGGAGTGACAAGAAATTCAGCTGAGTTCAGCTGCAGATGAAAGCTGTAGCTTTCCATGGAAACCACTGGATTGATTCTTTACCTTTGGCTACAAGTAATTGCATGCAATTATGTGTGATAATTAGAAGTAGATTGTGCAAGGAATAACAAAAAAAACATTAATACATCCTTTGCATTTGTGGTCTGCTCCTTTAAGAGTGATTATGATTTTTTTAACAGTTTCTCTTTTTTTAGCCCAACCTAAACCTGTTTAGTTGATCAAGCATAAGAATGGAAAATAAAAGTATATTTTCAGCACATTACAGAGTTCTGTTCATTTTTAGGCATGCTCTCTAGGACAAGCCCTTATTGGAACTGCAGTGGAAAAGCTGAATGATTTAAGGACTCTAAAATTCTCATTTCCTTCCAGTCTGATACAGTGAGGGATGACAGCTAAGACACCAGGCAGACCTCAGAAATAGATGCAGATCAATAGATGACAAACATTCTGGTTGGCTCAAAATATATCAAAGCAGTTATCTTGTGCTCTCTCTGTTTTATTGGTTTGTTTGGCATTTTTTTACGTAAGTTCTTTTTTGAAAAGTGAGGAGTGGCAAGGTAGAGGACAGTTTAATAAAGGTTTATAAAGGTCCCAATTCTTCATTTCTTGAGTAGTGCTACCATGCTGCTATTCTTAATGAAAGGTCAGGCAACTAAATTGTCCCTGGGATTTCACTTAATTACATTCAGAGATTGAAACTTTGTTGTCACAGACTAATAAACCAGCAGATGGCTTTAAGGAAGTCTGTAAGGTGGCAGTTTTAAATAGAAACCTGCTTGCTTAAAAATAGAAAAGACAGTAGATTTGAGGGAGATGTTCTGTAACAGCATGTCACTTCTCCACTGCAGGCCAAGAGACACGGTTTTCAGCAGCGTTAGCAATGTTGAGTTCATTGTCAGTGTTTATCCTCTAAGCCCCCAGCTGAAGGGCCTGTAGCTGGAGATTTCTTACTGAGAAATCTTTTAGTCTGAAACTTGGCCTGTGATAACTCATGTGATTTTTCTTAATTCTTGGAAAGCCATTTGTCCAGGGATGTAATTGAAATCTGGAGATGCCACAGAATGCCGTGGCTGTACTGAGATCCAGTCTTGAAATGTTAAATAAGTAGATGCTTAACGGTTTACACCCTTAATGTTGACCCATTTTATAATTATTTTGACATTTTCCTTTACTTGTTTTGGGTTCATCGTTATGCTGAGAATAATTTGCCTCCCGTGTCAGTCCTGCAGTTTTTTTATGGTACAGCAGAAGTGATATTCCAGTACTCCAGCTATGTTAACAAATACTGCAAACTCAAGGATTGTTTGAGGCACTTTTATACATGGTAATATGTATTTTATACATATTACCATGTATAAAAAAAAAAAATTTTAAAGAACACATGAACATTAACAGAGTCCTGCAGGTTCTGTGACTCCCCAGGAGCAGTTCTTGCTCTGGATGTCCTCCTGGGGGCCAGTTCATGCTGCACAGGGTGCTGCAGGCCAGGCTGGCCCCAGCTGTGCACCCCAACAGCTGCACTCCAATGTCAGTCTCACCCGGGTGATCAATGCTTCTCCCCACCTGAAGCAGGAAATCAGCTGTGCTCTGGAGAGCACCCAGGCTGATGCAAGGAAGGGCAGAGCCACGCTGTCACTGCTGCCTGGTGCTGCGCTGCTGGCTTGGCCCTGGTGTGATGCTGCATTTCCATTTGTTTGCCTCTCAGAAAATCAATAGACTAGCTCTGTCAGGAGCCCTGGTGAACAGCAAGAGCCTTGTGCCTCTTTCTCTCAGTATCTTTCACAAATTACCTAAATATTAGAAGAGGATCCTTTACTCTCCTGACTGCAGACTTGTCCCACCAGTCCCGCAGACTGACTGACTGGGGGTGGGGGTCCAGCCTCACCTTAGACATAAATGGAAAGAACAAACCCTAACTTTCTTTATCTTCTGCCTTTAAACTGAAGATTTTAGTGTCAGGTTTTCTCTGATTTTACCAGATGTACGACTTTGTAATCACTTTTTCTCAGCTGCATCCTGGCTTTAGGTTTCTCCTCTGAGACAAGAGCTGCCCAGTGGAGCACGGGGCTGGAGGAGAGGAGGTGAGGCAGCCTTTGTCACACAGAGGGCTCTCCCTGAGGAAGAGTGGGCTAAACAACCTGAAAGAGGGACACAAGTGGATTTCTGCCCTGTTCTGGACATTTCCACAAGGCTACATGTGGTAGGCACAGATGTAATTAGAAGAGTATTTGTCTAACACCTTTAGTCAGGGAACACTGTGGCGGGCTGTCGCCCGGTTTGCATGGTGAGTGTGAGATGTTTGGATCTGGCTGTAAACACTCCCATTTCCATAAACTCAGGACCATCTTGTCTCAGTTTGAGCTCCTGAAATTAGAGGCTGTTGTGGAAATGCAGCCCCTTATCTCTGTGTGAGATAAAACTTGTAATCCCCGTGTAACTTTTACCCACAGGGTGGGATGCTGGGAGGACTAAACAGCTCCAAATATTGAACAATGCAAGTCAGCACTATGAGCAATTGTTGTTGTGAGTCAATGTTGAATCCTTGCCAAAGATGCCTTTTACAAATAAAATTTAGCACTAATTTATCAATGGCTTAGTTCAAAACATGATGTAAAGCACTCAGTACATAATGAACCCATCTGGATCAAAAGAAAATGCTCGTAACAACTTTATTAAAAATAAATACTATGTTTAAGTGGACCAAATCAATGTAAGGGTAGTGCTGTGTTTATCCACTGACAATTTCCTACTTTCCTTATTACCTGTAACTGGCAGAGAGGGTTTTGTTAATGGGTTTTTTCCATTTTTTAACTTAACAAAACTGTCAACATGTGTTCTTTACTCTTTGCGGTGCTCCCTGCTGCTCCCCAGCCATCATCTGGTGACACAAAAGCAACCCAGCCCTCCCCCCATTTCTCTTCTGCATGCCACGCTCTGCTTCTGGCGGACAGGGCATTTTGTGGATCACTGCCCCCACGACGAAGGTAATCCATCTGCTGTGCTCCCGGAGCTGGTCCTGGCGGAAAGGCCACCCTAGTTCCTCCACGGATCCTGTTCTGTGGCCTCCGAGTGAGGAGCGAATGGGTGCTCCAGCTTTCCCCAGAGCAACTCCTGCTCTGTGTGCAGCTGCTGCAGGCTGATGCAGCCTCAGGCTCGGGGTACTTTGGTTTGGTTTTGTTTTTTCCCCTTGGCTGACCCGATGTCAGCAGCGCCGTGCCCCAAGATCCCGGGGGTGCCGCTGCAGCCGCTCTGTGTCCCACAGCGGGGCCCGACGGTGCTGCCGGGGCAGACAGGGCCCGGTGCCCGCCCGGTGCCCGCCCGGTGCCCGCCCGGTGCCCGCCCTGCCGGGGCCGGCGGTGGCGGCGGAGCGGGGCCATGGTGAAGATCGGTGTCCAGCAGCCGCCCGCGGCGCTCAAGCCGGACAAGGAGAAGGAGAAGGCGGCGGGGGGCGATGGGGTGGCGGGCGCCGTGCTGCTGCCCCCGGGCGCCGTGAGTGGGGCGGGGGCGAGGGGCGGCGGGAGTCGAGGGGTGCGGGTGGTGTGGTGCTGCTACGGACGGGCACCGGCAGAAGTGTCCGGCCTCACCGACGGCTTCGGGGGCTTGGTGGGCGCCCGAAGTTCAGAGGAGCGGGGCGGGGATGGGGCAGGGTAGCGGCGCCGTGGCGCGAGCAGCCGTCCCTGGGCACCGGAGGGAATGTCCAGCGCACACAGTGGCAGCAGAACTCGTCCCTTCGGGCGGTTTAGCCTGCGGGAATGTAATTTCGGATTGGTCATACATGGGTGGATTTCAAATCCTAGCATCTCTGACGGCTTTGGGTTGGCACGGGGAAGAGACAAGAGGAGGAAAGCAGATGGTGCTGGAGAAGGATGGGAAGCAAGGGGCTAAGAGCACAGACCTCTAGATGCTTTGCAGATGGGAGTTGACACGGTGATGTGCAGTCGCTCTGCCGGCTTCAGGTGATGGGTAGGAGAGGGGAGCCAGTGCTCATGCCTGCAGGGGTTGGGATCCCTTCAGGCACAAGGGGAGCGAAGGCGCTGGAAGATCCGTGGCAGATGCAGAGCGTGGGCTGGGGCAGGTAGAGCTGTGTGGGTCGCTCCCGGGCCGTGTGAGCCGTGGCCAGGCGCTGTCGGGCCGTGCCGGGGGTGGCACGGGCAGTGCCCCTCTCGAGCACGGACAGCGAACCAGGTACGGCTGTGTTTGGCAGGAGTTGGGTGTTTGTGAAGTCTCTGATGCTGGAGAGCCCCACTTGCCAGCCCTGGGTGGATTCCACACTGTGTAGTGCGAGGGTGTCGTCCTGAGCTGGGCCTGACCCGCGGCATGCACTGTGCCTTGTTACAGCGCTCCCGTTTCAGAGCAGGAGTCCTAAATGGCATTTGTGCATTCCTCACAAATCCCTAGGCTGTGCGTGTGGTCTGATCATTTATCGAACCCTAGTCTCTCTCTGACTCAAAAACCAATGTGGGAGCTGTGGTTTTGCTCTGTTCCTGCAGCAGTGCAGAGTGTTCCTCCTCATGTGCCTCACCAAACAAGTGGGAATTGCTCTGGAGAACTGCTTTGCAGCAGGGGCTTCAGGAGACTGCTGCGTTCTGCAGAGTTCAGGGAGTCACTTAGACCATGATGATCTCTCCCATCACACACGATGTGCTCGCAGGTCTCGGCTCTGCTGCCAGGGTCTGGCTGTGCTTGGTGTGTCATGATTGCTTCTGTTAATCTCACGCCAAGGAGCTCTGCAGAGACCTGGGGGAATGTGGCTGACTGTGACCTCTCGGTGATTTCCTGACTGTATTTCCTAATTACAAACCAAGGTGCTGGTTTTCTTCCTGCTTCTGATGTCCAACCCTGGAAGCTGACTGTCACACTGGACTTCCAGCTCATCCTGCCATTAAACCAGCTTTCCACAGCCAGAAACTCAGTTCTGCTGTTGATCCTGCCTGAGTTCAGGCGGGATCTGTCTATTTCTCATGAGCACTGTGAGAAAAGCAGTTTAAAAAGTAATAAAGTAACAGATGCTTGTTTCTATCATTAGTGCTGCCAGATCCCAGCAATCAAAATTATTCTGATTCAGGTTCTGCCAGATGTATGAAATTGGCTTAGGTAGCAAATAATAAATTTTGGGGGTTTTATGTTGCCTTGGGCTTTTCTCTGACTCTTGGGAGGCATGGTGGTGTTCTTTTAAGCCCACCTCTGTGAGCTACAAAGGAACCTAAAAACATGAATTTAGGACAAAGACTCTGCAA